ATATATATATATATAAGTGACGAATGCGGGTGCTCCCATACGGCCACTCAACAAGAGAACGTTTGCAGTTGACCGGGAGGCGCCTAGATGATCATTCGCGAACGTTTATTAAATTTTTCACAGGAGCAGATTTATTTAATTAGGCGCCTAAACCGTTCTGCCTATTTTCTTCAAAATTGATATTCCTCGATCAATCTGAATGATTTCATAGCTTTGAGAATTTAAAACGGATATTTTGATCTTTGACGGTTCTTCACGTCCCAAACACGTTTTAAAATTTCCTCAAAAAGACTCCAAATTTATTGATTAAATTTTGTTGTTCAATAGTACGAAGGACGTTTAAAAGAATGGTTTAGTTCTAATTTTGCTAACTTTCCCTATTTTTTGAAAATTGCAAAAAAGAACTTTGAAACTACATAATTCGATTTTCTGGCTGAAAGTCTGTTGTACAAAATTAGGCCTTCATTGACAGGTCATGTACATTTTTTGTGTAAAAGTTAGTGGTCTTTAGTTAATTTCCACTTGAAATGTTAGTAATTGTTCTCTTCTTAAAAACCGCTCCAATTTTTCTTAAATTTTGCCGTCTCATGTAATAAACGGTAAGAGAAATAGGGTGCTGGTCCGATTTTCGGGTATTGCTAATTTTTTTCGACAATTTCAAATAACAATTATAAAAGTACAAAATTGAAGATTTTTGTCTCAGGCAGTCTGTTGTACAAAATTACCTCTTTAAAAAATGCCATTTTAATTTTTTGAAAAAACGAGTTTTTGCGTAATTTGTGCTTGAAATTTACGAATTTTTTCTCCAAAAACGTACCAAATTTGATCTTTACATTTCTCCACATGTGTAATAAAGAATGGCAAGAAATAAGGTGCTAATTTCAGTTTCAGGGATTGGTCGGTTTTTCTAAAATTGCACTAATTCAAAACTACAAAATTGAATATACTTTTGACTCAGGAAAAATTTGTTGGAGAAAATTAACTTTTTAAATATATAATAAATAAACTAGTTGTGCTATAGAATGGCACTGACTTTCTCGCAGTATTTACTTTTGTAATTTCTTTAGTCTAGACTAGCATTTCAGTTGTGACTTTTTCTCTTCCCAGATACGTTTGTTGGTCGCTGGAAGGACAGTTGTTTCACATTTTCTCGATTTTTTTGCTTCCTAATGTTAGATCTGACACCACCATATGCTTATTACTAGTATGTAAGTGTTAAACCCATGTGGTACCCGGTGGCCAAGGTGGATAATTGGTGTTAAGGGACTCGGCTCTTCAGAGGGGAAGAGAGGTGGTTCGAGTCTTTGTCGGTGAATCTGTCACGATTCCCTGTTGCCGCAGAAAATAATTTATAATTCCAGAAACGTTTTTGAAACCCATTTGAAGCAATTGTAAGCACAAATAGAAGTGTTTAAGATACATAAACTGGAAGTGTCGGTATGTGATTTTCGAATTTTCAACTTAAAAACAATTTTTCACATCTCGTATTGGATTTGTAAAACATCGACAAATGAATTGTTGTCTTTCGCCGTTTATGACTATTATAGAATAATTATCTGTAAAACCAGGATGGCTGAAGTGGTTAAATGTCAGATTCGGACTCCGCCTTTCGAAGGCAATGGCCGCTGGTTCGAGCCTGTCCCGTTGATATTTGCCACAACTCCCTGTTGGGGTTGGAAACTATTGAGTATTTCAGAAACTTCTTTGAAACTCATTTGAAGCAATTCTCCCATCTACAATATGTTTAGATCCTAAATAAACAAAGTGTATGTCGTTTTCGTTTTTTGAAATTTTAAACAAGTGTACAACTGTCTTGTTGCAGTTTTGAGTCCGATATCACTACGCACTACTACCTTAACGATCTCGACCATCCGGTTTACGTACTGACTTCGTCTGCAAACCTCATTGTTTCATATGTGGAGACACAAATGAAAAAGCAAAACACGAAATCTTGTTTATCCTGTGATATGCTGTTTTGAAACGGTTTATGGCTCGTGAGAAATCGTAGTAATGTTTTTGACGTTCTGGAGTATATTGCGTAGAGGCAGTAAATGTCGTGTTAGCTTCTGATGCACGTGCTTATTTGACGTGCATTGACTCATCAGACTCCAAGAAGACCAAACCATAGTTTGGCCCTGCCGAGATGTAGATTCAGCGATACAAAATATTT